CTATCTTACAAGGGAGTGTGTTCTGGGGCTTTATTCCTAGTCTAATAATGGTCCGTTTCAGACAGTAAACGTCCAACGACACTCTTAGTGCCTACATTTACCACCAACCCGGCAGGTTGTCAGGCTGCCACCAAGATCGAACCCAAAGGGATTCACAAGGACCACACACCGACCCTGGAGTGTTCGCGTTCTAGAGTTTCTGACCCCAGTACCAGAGAGTTCATCAATTCTCTGGACCCCCTGGGCTACCGCACTATACACTTGCGGCGGAAAAGGTTCACCGACCTCGCCACACATCGACCAAGCCGACGTCGGCGTTCCAGGCGTCACGACCCCAGAGATGGAGGACAAGACGCAAAAGATCTTGAGTTATCGTCGTCGTATCTTTTTGGGTGATGGTATTGCCGCACCGGCTTCGGCTCGCGGAGTCGTTTGTGACCTAGATGTGGGTGATGCGATGCCGATAGCACTGCGTGCTCGACAGATCGCCTCCAGATATCTGGTCAAGGTTTACGAACTACTGAAGAAGATCCTAGAGACTGGGCTTTTTGAACACTCTGGATCAGAGTGGTCATCCCCGATCGTGATCGTTTTGAAGAAGAATGGAGAAGATATCAGAATGTGTGTTGATTATAGGCTGGTTAACTAGTTGATCAAGCTATCACGATACCCCCTACCTCTGATTGACGACTTGCTGACAGGTTTTAATGCTGCGACATGGTTCATGAGCCTAGATATGGCGAGCGGTTTCTGGGCGATTCAGAAGACAGGGTGGGCGAATCTGATTTCGGCCTTTGTCTGCCCATTCGGACATTTCCAGTGGATTCGGATGCTTTTTGGACTCAAGAACGCGCCGTTAGTGTATCAGATTGTGATCAATAACTGTCTCTGGGAATTCGTACACCTCCCACCTGAGGAAGAGGCTAAGGTTGATCGAGATGTCCTGGAATTTCTGAAGTTGACCGCCCCCGACATAGGATCGACGACCGAGAATCCTCAGCATGAAGGTAGTTTCAGACTTCCGGAACTGATGAAGGAGGCGACTGCATTCAGGCAAAACATTCCGGCACAGATGGGACCGGTCCTGGGACGAAGTTCCTACATAGATGATATAGCTCATGGGGCTCCTACCTAGGACCAGCTTTGTGAAGACCTGAATGCTTTGCTATTCCGACTCCGATATTGGAATATCTCGGTTAGTCTACCGAAAAGCGAGTTCGGTAAACAAGCTATACCGTATCTATCCCACGAAGTCTGTGCCGAAGGTATCACAGCTACCCCGAAGATCGCCAAGAGTGTTCAAGAGCTACCTTTACCATCGACTCTGAATAGCGTTCAATCGTTCTTAGAAAGCCTGAATTACTATAACAAGTATATCGAAGATTTACCTGTGCTTGCGGCCGTGCTGTATGAGCTGGATGAGGACCGCGTTCGCGCCGGACATGATTTGGATAGGGCCAAGAAAGCGTTCGAGATTCTGAAGCGTAAGATTACGTCGACTCCGCTGCTTCGCCATCCAGATTGTACCAAGCCGTTTGTCACATGCAACCTCCTGGGCGGTCAGCGATGTCCTGGGGCAGGAACATGAGGGGATCATCCAACCAGTGCGCTTTACGGGGCGGGTTTTGAACGAGTCCGAACACAGATACCACATTGTAGAGAAGGAGGTGTTGGGAATTCTGCGAGTCCTAGAGCAGTTCCGTCCACTCATCCACGGTTCAGAGATACCAATTGTGATCTATACTCGGTACTCGGTCCTGAAGTGGCTACTGAAGTCAAATTCCGCCGACAGCTGTCACCTAAAGTGGGGTCTAGAATTGACGAAGTGGACTCTGGAACTACGCCGTGTGCAGCGTGATGAGGATGGATTAGCTGCCATCCTCGGCGCGGGTATTACCCCCAGGGAACATTTAGACGAAGTCGCTGAAAATCTGATCCCGGCTAAGGGGCGAAATCAAAGCACCTCCGCCAGAGATGTTGGATTCAGACTTCGCAGGATATGTTCTGAGCTTCGATGGTGCAGCCAAGGTCTCCATCAGACACGGAAGTAGTGGATGTATTCTGTGGCGTCTACCCGGTTGGCACGTCCTAAGCGCCCACGGATTCCCTCTGGATGATGTGACTGTGAACGATGCCGAGTATCACGGGTTGATGAAAGGCTTGGAGCTAGCCGACGACCGTGGTTTCAGAGGTGTGGTTGTGGTCGGCGATTACAGAATCGTCATCCAACAAGCGCAAGGATTAATAGGTTGCCACCAGCCTAATCTGCAACATGGCATAGCCTCGCTGAGTATGAAGCCTTGAAGATGAAATTTGACTCAGGACGGTTGGTCCACGTCAAGCGTGACTACAACCAGGCAGCAGACTACTTAACGACGAAGACGTTAGCACTCGGGAAAGCGTGTGTGGTGGAGGATGTGGATGAACTGATGCATCTGAAGTTTGTCTCCAGGATCCCGGAGAAGATCACGAAGACTCCAGAATCCTCGGAACGAAAGGACGACGCAAGTCAGAGTCCGAAGAATGATCAACCAAATGACCCCGTTTCAGACCCTGTTCCAAATGCGTCTTAGACAACGGGACCCGTGAAGATGGTTACAACCCGAAGTCGTTCCAGACAAGTTGACCACGTGGATGACCCGGCCGATCACTTGACTATCGAGACGAACGTTGGAGTCGCATTAAAGTCCACCAGGACGAGGACCCAGAGTTGAAAAGGCTCAAGGATTATTTGAGGGGTGATCTGTTGAACTATACGCGGAAGGAAGTCAAGAAAATCGCGAAGGGCAGACCGATACGTTTTAGACTCAAGGGACGTTCTTTATCGTTTGGCGATGCCTACCCCGGAACGTACTAGGGACAAGCGTTCTGAACTTCGCCTAGTTGTACCAGAACCTTTGCGACCCGACATCCTACATCACACTCACGAGTATTTCCAGAGTGGCCATCAAGGCATCACCAGGACATATGAGCGTCTGCGTTCAGAGTTTTTCTGGACCGAGATGTTCCAAGACGTTGAAGTGTTTGTCAAAGAATGTACGGATTGCGCGTCCGCTAATGGGTGACCCAAATCCGGGACCCTCACCCGGAAACATTGAACCGACCGGTCTATTTGAAGTAATGTCCATGGATTTTGTCACACTCCTTCCGAAGTGTGAACGTGGGAATACCTTCCTACTTTTGTTTCAGGACATGTTCACGGGCTACGTTATGTGCAAACCCATGAACAGTACTACCGCTCAAGATTGCGCCGAAGCCTAGGAGGAGGTTGTGTTTAGGAACTATGGTGCAAGCTCTGAGATTCGTCACGACAGAGATCCCAGGTTCATGAGTCGGGTGTTCCGTCGTTTCAGTGAGATGATGGGTATCCAGAAGAAAGCAACGCTCGCCTATCGCCCTCAGGCCAATGGCCAGCAGGAACGGTCGGGTCAGACAATTATGCACAGTATCAGAGCGTATGTTGAAGAACCCGAAAAAACCGATTGGGACGACCACGCAGAGAATCTTATGCATGCTCTAAATACCTCCTTCGATGCGACTAGATTGGATACGCCGTTCTACCTATTACACGGATTCGATTGTCGGAGTACTATAGCCGCTTATGCATGCTCTAAATACCTCCTTCGATGCGACTAGATTGGATACACCGTTCTACCTATTACACGGATTCGATTGTCGGAGTACTATAGCCGCTACGCTAGGTCCAAAACCGACGGACGTCGCAGAACGTACCGCATACGAATGGCGCCGAAAATGGCAGCGAGACTACAGCTATGCCCATGGCTGTGCGGAAGAACTCCAGTGGAAAGCCAAGCGTACGAGGTCCGCGGTTCAGACTCAGAAGTGGAAGGCGTTATCGGATCACCTCAAGTCTGGTTTCGAAGTAGGCGACTCGGTCTGGTTATATATCCCGAAGGTCTCGCCAGGACTGAGTCGTAAATTGGTTTATTTGTGGCATGGACCATTCAGGATTGAGCAGGTTCGGGACGATTTCAAAGTGAAATTGAAGCTTCAGGGCACGGGTTACCGTGTAGAGCCATGGGTTCACATCAGTCGTCTGAAATCACGTGTCTTGTTTCCGAAACGGCTGTCTTTAAGGGTTAACGTTTCAGAGGATGATGACTTTGATGCGACATTATTGCCGGAGGATAGCGGGGAACCAGATTATGTACATCAGGAGTACGAAGTGGAGGAAATCGTGGATTTGAGATGGACCAAGCGCACCCGAAATGCCAAACGTATCCGCGAGTATCTCATCAAGTGGAAGGGGTACAATGAACTTCAGTGGTTGCCCATCTCACAACTGAATTGTGGTTCCCTTTTATACAAGTTCAACCAGTCAGCACGTGCAAAAGCTCGTTTTGCGGCCATGCAGTCTGGGAATGATGACTACACAGAGCTATATGCCCCGATCCAGAGAAGTCGAGTCTGTTCCCAACAATTATGTGCCTCGTTCCGAAGAATTCGCACGATTTTTAGAATGACTGAGTGCTCGCGTGCGAATACTCGGCTAGGCGATGTGGTTCCAGAGTTCTGTATGAGTGACGTGTATGGAACGGAGACTTATTGGGTAGTCTATCCGGCGTTAATTTGACTTTGACGTGAAAAGAGCAAGGTGAGACATCACCATTTGATTATTGAAATTCAGTTGATACGCTACGATATGTATAGGCACTGAAGGACGAGCCCGAAAGGCACTAAGTCGCCTCGAGTCAGACACTCAGTCGGAGTTGGAGCTTGCTGACGTAACGTCTTGGGCGAGACGGAGCTGGTATAGTCCTTTCGTGGTCCTTGGCTTCGTAGTGGAGGGAGGTCCTGGAATTGGTAGCAGGCTTCTGGCCTGCTCGATCTTCAGGAGTAGGCGTTTAGAAACGAACGCCTCTGGTACATGCTCCAGACGCGCAGTCTCACTCGCAGCATCTGCCCAGAGTGTACGCGCAGGTTCGCGTTCGTCCAGCTCCAGGAGTTGTGCCCTCAGGTCGGCAACCCCAGACACCGTTCTGAAGTTCACCGAGGGATCCTTGAAGATCCAGTGGCATATGGTATTGGGAAGGATCCACAAGCCAGGCTCGTACCCGAGCGTTTTGGGGAACTTGTCGATCTTCTCCAAACGCTGGGCTAGAATGAGAAAATTCCGGACCAGCGTCCCCCGCACTTACGACGCCACAGGTGGAGTTCCTTCGCTCGGTCGTCCTCCATGGAGATCGTGAACCAGTGTAATATGTACCACAAACCTTCAGCACGTTCCTCCATGTACTCCGAGTATTCTTTGATCCCACGCAAGACTCCTTTGCTCAGGTCACAAACATGGCGGAAGTAGAACGCTTTGGAGCAATCCTCAAACATTAGGACCCAGGGGAGTCCAAAGTCGAGAATCTTCGACTACCACGCGCTTGAGTCTGAACCCGAACCGTAAGCACCTGCCTCAGACGAGTTGCTCCTTGACGTGGTCCCACGGTGCCCCTTACTTCCAGACTTCTTCACTCGAACGACGCCCAAGAACTCATCCCATGCCTCCATAGACCAGCGATCCTTGAGATACTTGGTCTCATGCTTGTGTGGCTCGTAGTCTGGGAAGCTGAGAGTCTGGATCTTGTCAGAGAACTTCATCTTGATTCCGAAGACTCGGAATGTGCTCGTAACGTCCCAGTCGCAGACCTAGATGATCAATAGCCTATCCTCATTCAAGGACTGGAAGTCGCGAAGGGCCAAGTCCGTGGGATGACGCGCCCCATTGGCGCGACCGGTGTTTGTCTTGACGCTCTTGATGACCTTGGTGTCTGGAGTTCTGGTTGTCGCCTTGGACTT